TTAGATTTTTTTTTTATGATTATATTTGAATGCATCAAATATTGTTTCTCAATTAAAATGAGTCTAGTATCAAACACTAAAATGTAGAATGTACATAAAAAGTGCTGAAAATATGTTGAAATATTACATGTAAAGTAAAACATATTCGTTAACACTTTATAATAAGTTCTCAGTTGTTAACATGTTAACATTTTTATTTAAAAAAATAATTATTATAATACACATTATATTTTTATTATTTTGTAAAATAACGTTTTAATTTGATGGCGTAGTGTTTTTATAGTGTAGTCAGCTACTTGCAAACGATTATTTTATTTTTAAAATGTAGATTTCAGAGATAGATGTCATGAAGAAAAAAAATCATTAATTTTTAACATAATTTCACATAAATTTACATTATTTTAACTATAAAACAGCTTTTCTACATTCACAAATTCGACAACTAGTGAAGTCATTGAAGATCAGATTCATTCACAATAAAGCAAACACAGCTCATTCTCAGAAAAAAAACTAATGATCATGCACAACTGCTTCCTCATCTGGACCATTTTGTACATTTTAATTGCTCGCATTCAGCAAACTTCTGGAGGAATATTTAACGAGCTGTTAATGATGCGTTCACTAAATCAATGGAACAAAAGAGAAACAGCATCACATCAACAGATAAACGAGTGAATCAGGGGGCCGGTGCGAATGAATGAATATGAATATTTCATACCTGCTCACTTGCGCCTCTGCATTAATGAATTGTCAAATAGAAATATATATTACATGCAGGAAAAGTGCCTTTTGACAGGTGATGTTTTAGGTCATTTCAACTGGAAAATAAAACTAGTTTGTGAATTACAGAAGAATCTGACGTCACCTGAACATGAGTAAAAAATTATGTGAAATGTGACAAAATTTTGCTGCACAATTATATAATGCAGCTTTCTAACAAACATTGTTTTATGTTTAGGGTTATGGCATGTGATGTGCCACTGGCCTGTGTTTTAACTTTTATTGTAGCAAATTAGTATTCAGTAGCATTTAGAACACCTCTCTCTCTCTCTCTCTCTCTCTCTCTCTCTCTCTCTCTCTGTTTACTGCACAGTTAGTGAAGCTTATCGCCTGGCAACCACAATTAAAGTACACCAAGTCAGCAGTAGCAAAGAAACAGGCTGTGAAAAAAAGAAGAAAAAAAAAACGTGAACACCTCCAGCGGAGAGAGAGACAGATAGACAGAATCCGGCTTGTGTTTTAGTTGGTCTGTACCTGAAGAGCCTCAAATTAAGTGAAAGCGAATGCGACAGGTGAAACTGGAACCACACAGGTATGTGATCACTGGAATGTCTGAAGACTGTTGATGAGTGTGTGTGTGTGTGTTTAATAGTGTTGTTAAACGACTTTACCTAATCACACATGATGCGTGTAGAGATGCTGTGTTGAGTGATGTTCTCAGTGAGATTATTTGATTTGATCCCAGCACTCGTTTGCTCTGACGAGTGTGTAGTTCCTCTGGTTTGAGGTGCTCTGGTGTAAAATTACTCTGAAGATGATGTTCTGTGATTTCATTCACAACTAACGGCACTGTGATGAAGGCTCTTGAGTAGCTCGTGCGCGGGTGGAAACAGTGGAGTCAGTGTCAGGTGGAAACGGATGTTTAACGGATGGTTAACAGGTGTTTAAACAACTTTGTATAATTGTATAATCATCATACTTTAGATGTCATGTGCGGTGTCTTTTTTTGTCCATGAGACTCACAGGTAAAGGTCAGAATCACAGCAGTGATCTTCCTGTCTCCAGCTGTTACCTTTGAAACAACCACACACACCGTTTCAAATGTCACCACATCTGTCTGTCTGTCCATCCTTCTATCTTTATATCAATCTATCTTTCCGTCATCTTGTCTGTCTATCTATCTATCTATCTATCTATCTATCTATCTATCTATCTATCTATCTATCTATCTATCTATCTATCTATCTATCTATCTATCTATCTATCTATCTATCTATCTATCTATCTATCTATCTATCTGACTGTTTATCTATCTATCTATCTATCTATCTATCTGTCTGTCTGTCTGTCTGTCTGTCTGTCTGTCTGTCTGTCTATCTATCTATCTATCTATCTGACTGTTTATCTATCTATCTATCTATCTATCTATCTATCTATCTATCTATCTATCTATCTATCTATCTATCTATCTATCTATCTATCTATCTATCTATCTATCTATCTATCTATCTATCTATCTATCTATTCAATTCAATTCAATTCAATTCAATTCAAATTGCTTTATTGGCATGACTGTACATATTACAATATTGCCAAAGCTTGTAACACATAGCATAGTGAAGACATCAATAAAAACAAAGTATTATAACAACTTAAATTGAAATGTACAAATTAAATTAATTGCAAAAAATAACAGTGTAACAGATTATAAATTCTATGAACGTTTGATACCACAGTGTTTTAACATATATATACACACATACACACATTACTGAGGGTCACTGTGGTGGACATTAGGGAAATACACTGAGGTCACACATTCACACACATTCACCTACTGTCTCTCAGGCTGTGGCACGCACACACATATCTGGCATATCTATCTATCTATCTATCTATCTATCTATCTATCTATCTATCTATCTATCTATCTGACTGTTTATCTATCTATCTATCTATCTATCTATCTATCTATCTATCTATCTATCTGACTGTTTATCTATCTATCTATGTATCTAAAGTCAATGGCACAGTATTTTTTTGTTATTTAAACAGCACGTTAGTAATTATGGGACCACAAAGTGCGTACACACTGCTAATAATTACACACACAGGGATGCGCAGCACACAAACATGCCAGATAAAAGGATTACAATGTAAAATATTAATATTGTGTACATAAAGATATGGTGGAATCCGTCTTGTCCCGTTGATGGTCTGCTTGCATGCTTTAACCTCGCTAGCGGTCAGTTTTTAAATAGCGAATCCGCCATGCCGCAAGCGCAACTGGCTTTTAAAGGGAATGGGAAATTACACTCTGATTGTTTTTTTTTTTTTTTTTTGCACGTAATACCCTAAACACACCCATTACTCATTAAGAGAATAGGGGCAACCCTTTTAAACCAACCATTTTTCAACCCGCCGACCATTTTTCCCGTAGTTTAACTAGAAAAAGTGGATTCGGACACACCTTAGTGCACTTGCGCTAAAACTCGTTAAAAAAGGGCCCTCTTTCTTTCTACCCATTTCATCCATCCACTATTGTTAAATGTATTTAATAATTAATATTTAATGTATCCAGACATTATTGCATAATGTATCCAGGGTGCTGGAGACCATCTAACTATGTCACGGCTAGGGATGGGTATCGTTAAGGTTTTATCGGTATTACTACTCTTACCGATACCGCTTATCGATCCGGTACTTTAACGGTATTCTTATCGGTTCTTTTTGGTGTTTTTTTTTTTTTTTTAAGAATTAAGAACATAATTAAACTTTATATTTTGAAATGTAAAATATAAAAAGCAAAACGAAGAAAAATATATTTTTGTTATGCAGCAATGTGCAGGCTTTTTTTGTTTATACAAAAGGACACATAAGAAAAAAAAACAAGTACAAACACAAGAATACAATTAATCAAAGGTACAAATTATATACAAAGTGCTTTAATTTCAGGAAGGTCTACTAACATATCTTGTCAGGTAATTGTTTCTGTCTGAAAAGAAACCTATTAATCAAATATAAAATAGCACTGTAGTTTATCATAGATAGAATAATGCTTATTAAATCTAAAGTTACTCATTCAAAGGCTGTGAGTGATTTTCTCTGCCTTTTGTTGTTTGATTTGCATTAATGGCTGAATCGTCAGCAGGTTTAGGCTATTAGACTGCTGCCCCTTTAAGACCGAGTGCAGATAATGGGGACTGATGCACCATCATTTTCTCCCTATTATTTATGTCCATTTAAGACATAATTGTGTTTAAGTGAATAAACTGTGTTTAAGTGAATCTCAGAGCTGGTCATTTTGACATTTGTATGTATATTTGATAGTTAAGGACGCACAAAGCCCAAGTATATAGGTTACTTTTCTTGTCTCGTTGCAGTCCGTTTCGGAGCGTGCACCGCCTTGTGAACAGCGTCTCTTGCGCAGGTTTTTGTGTTTTTAATAGCTATTTTCTTGATCTTGCAACAGTAGAAGACAGCACTTTGCAACAATCGCCGATCGTGCTGATTCTGACGGTTACGTTTGGGTTTTAGGAAGAACTGACAGCGCTCCGCAGTGCTGTGAAGTAAAGAAAGTTAAGCTGGACAGATCGTTTCGTTTTTTAACGGTTTTATCTCAAATATCTTCTTTTTATAATCTTTGGAAGCCGAAATACAAAATATATTAGAATAATACCCCAGATCTAAAGTGTAACCACGTTGAATGTTTAGTTCTGTCCTCATTGTCACTCATTAAGCAAGGGCTGTCGTGTTGCGCGTGCTGTGGCTTTGCGTGAGAGCTCGCTCTCTCTCTCTTCTCTCTCTCTTCTGAACTGCGAATTGCAAATTTGCATCACAGACATATGGTTTAATTAAAATATAGTTTATATATAGAAATGGCTGGTTATATGTCGAGATAACGTCTTTATAGGAATAATAAATAGTAGCCCAACTTGCGTGTATTTACTTAATTTCTCCAGTACCGACAGCAGAACCGGTAACGTCCGAGCTTATCGATACAGCGGTCTTTCAAAATTTTTTTTGCCGTTTAATACCGGGTTTCGGTACCCATCCCTAGTCACGGCCTTGTATCAAATCAATCAATAAGAAGAAAGTGTGTGGAGGGATACATGAGATGTGAAACTAGCACAGATATGTAGGAAATTGGTGGGTCAGCAGTCATTTAAACAGTTTATTATCATTATACAAAACAGAATATTGCTATTGGCCAATCAGAAATAAGAATTCTGTAGTAATAATGCTTTGAACTGACTATTTCTTTGTAATGTTGTGTTTCAGAGTCTAGGCTCCATCGACAGGAAGGGGCCGCGTCAGAGAAGGTAAGACTCGCTGTCATGCTCTCATTATGGTGATGCCAGGGTTAAACAAGTGGTTAAAAAACTTCATATTGAATCATTCCAGTTATTGGACCTGGTGACCCACTGAAAAGACAGATCATTTATTTTTAGATGAACTGTAATCTAGAGTATTACTTTTAATGGCACCAGAAATAAGCTAAATCAGACATAACTTTCCTTTGGGGTCATCCTCAATTGAAAAAAATGCATATTATATCATATACGTCATTTTATTTAGCTTTAATGTTATATAAAAGACATTATAATATCCATGCAAGTAGACTCGTGCACTCATTACACAGTCTTTCTCTGGTTTTGGTGTGTTGGAAGGTTTACTGCTTTAGGTTTATTAGCATAGATTAACTTAGAGAGAGATAATGAAATCAATGAAGAAAGAAGGGATTATAATAAATTTATAGTGTAGATAATCAATGAAGAAAGAAGTGACTTATAGCATAGATAATCAATGAAGAAAGAAGTGACTTATAGCATAGATAATCAATGAAGAAAGAAGTGATTATAATAAAAATTGAGTTGAAAGTCAAAAGCTTAATGATTGAGATAGAAGTCAAATAAAAATGAAACATCCCATGACAGAACTCAATGAGTGCATTAAAGATCAGGTTACTATAGTATTATGATAGTGTTCTGGTTATGATAACGCTGTAAACTAAAAGATAAAAAAAAAGAAACAGTGATCCCAAACTTTTGACTACAGGTCGCCCACGTTGTCTCAAAACTAAATGAATATAAATGACTTCTGGAAATGTGTTTAGACTTCATCCAAGTAATTTACAATTTAATATATAGTTTACTTGAGTGCTTCGGAAAAAGCTTTGGCCAAATGTCTTGTCAGGCAGACGAAATTCGAAAACCGCGTGGCCTTGCACACAGAAGTTAAATTCAGCCAATCACATTGTTTTTGAGTGCGGTGAGTGAACGCAATCAGTGAATGAACTGTTAGCGGTCAGCGCAAGGCTAGGTGTAGAATTAGTGAGAAATAAAATGCATGTGCCGTAACCATTTGTGGTCTTCTGTTTGAACGTCTAGTAACCAATTGTGAACAAATCACATAAGCTTTATGTTTTGAGACTAGTTATTGTGGGTTATAGAACTAAAGGGAGAAAATCAAATGAATTAGCTTGAATGATATATGGCAGCAGTCTCTCTCTCTCTCTGACCCATATAAACATTTTTCACATAGACAGTCTAATAAGTTTAATAAGTGTGCATGTTTCAGTGTTTGGTTTTGTGGTTAATGTGTGTATGTGTAAAGGTTGACTCAGCCGTGTGTGTGTGGAGGGGCTGGCGTTGTGGTTTGCATGTTTGATGTGGTTTGGCCATGAAAAGGCTGACGGTTCCCCGACAGTGCTGTGCCAGAGACACACACACACACACACACACCTCAATAAACCCCCGCCAGAGGAACTTTCCCGCGAAATCATTGCTAAGAACACACGCTTGGCATCTCGTTCATTTGTGAGCGTGTGTGTGTGTGTGGCATCGTCTTCTATTGTTCACTCACACACACAGGCATATACACACGTTTTGCCGCCGGTCTGGATGTAGGTATGAAGATGACACAGCGGAAACCACTTCCTCACAAACACACGCCCTTCTGTGTTACCGTGTGTGTGGTTTGTTTCTATAAATGTATGACACATTCACATGCTCACGATCCGCTCCAGAATAAATAATCATCATGATGGCCGTCTCCACTCTGATTGGAATCTTGACGCCCTGTGGAATTGTGGGATTCTGGAGGGAACGACAAGATTGGAGCCGCTTTAGGTCCATTACAGCATTCCGGCAATGACCACAGAGAGAGAGAGAGTGTGTGAGAGAGAGAGAGAGAGTGTGTGTGAGAGAGAGAGACAGGAGTAGGTGGCCCTCTTGGGAAACCGCTTTTTATTTTGGAATTCTGGAATTATTTTTGGAAACATGAATCAGTGTGTGTATACTGTAGCTGTATGAAGTGTTGATATGTGTGATGAAGTCAAAATCGACTACTTTCATAATGCATGCTCCTGCTGTTATTGTGACTGATTCATCAGTGCATGTGATTTTAAAGAAAAAAGTGCATAATTTTCCATTGAAATATAACAACTTTTTGACTTCTGAAATGTCTTTTCTAATACACAGGCCATTGGTTGATCAATAGTCAGATGTCATAGTCATTTACAAGGTCGGAACTGGATTGAGAACGTTGTTTAAATTCCAATTCAGTTTTTGAATCTGTTTTTTTTTTTTTAATCTGTTCAAGCTAAATTTATCAAGAAAAACTTTTAATGTGGCTTTGACAAAGACTTGTTTGAAAGTTTTGAATGAAGGATAGAAGCTTTACATTTTTATAGGGCTGATAGATTATCAATATTATCAATGCATACAGGTCTGTTCTGTTAGGTTGCTGTACAATAGATAGATAGACAGACAGATCGATAGATAGATAGATAGATAGATAGATAGATAGATAGATAGATAGATGGATGGATGGATGGATGGATGGATGGATGGATGGATGGATAGATAGATAGATAGATAGATAGATAGATAGATAGATAGATAGATAGATAGATAGATAGATAGACAGATTGACAGACGGACGGATAGATGGACAGATAGACAGACAGATAGACAGACAGACAGATAGATAGATAGATAGATAGATAGATAGATAGATAGACAGATAGACAGACAGATAGACAGACAGACAGACAGACAGACAGATTGACAGATAGACAGACAGACAGACGGATGGATGGATAGATAGACAGACAGACAGACAGACAGATCGATAGACAGACAGACATATAGACAGACGGACGGATGGATGGATAGACAGACAGACAGACAGACGGATGGATGGATAGATAGACAGACAGACAGACAGATAGATAGACAGACAGACAGATAGATAGACAGACAGACGGAAGGACGGATAGATAGTTTACATGCATAATGTTTGAAATTACTTCAGGACTCTCTCGAGAAAAGTCTTCAGCAAGAATATCCTGATAACATCGAAGATCACTGGGAACTTCTCAAATCCACCATCCATGACACATGTAAATCCACCCTTGGGTATCAGTCCAGGAAACATCAGGACTGGTTTGATGGAAATGACACAGAGATAGAACAACTTATCTCCAGAAAACGAAAAGCCTTCCGAGTGTGGCAAAATGACATAAAATGTGAGGCCAAAAGGGCAGCACACTCCAGAGCTAAGGCTGACGTTCAGTGATTGGTGAGGGAGCTCAAGAACAACTGGTGGACAGAAAAATCTCTAGAACTCCAGAGACTGGCAGAATCAGGTAACACCAGAGGTTTTTTTAGTGCCACTAAGGCTGTCTATGGCCCTAGCCATCACGGGTTAAATCCCCTGCACCCAAAGGGTGGACAGACTCTTTTGAAAGACAATGACTCCATCAATGCACGCTGGAAGGAGCATTTCCAGGAACTTTTGAATAGCGACAGCTCAGCTGAATCAGACATCGCTAACCATATCCCGCAGAGTCCCATCAGAGAAGACATGGGGGAACCTCCTACCCTAACTGAAGTTCACAATGCCATCAGAAGTCTCAAGAATAACAAGGCTACTGGTCCTTCTGGGATCCCTGCAGAGATTCTAAAGGAAGGAGGACCAAAGCTCTGGCACCACATCCACCATCTACTCATCAAGGTCTGGGAAAGGGAAGAGCTCCCCACAGAGCTCCGGGATGCCCAAATTGTTCCCATATTCAAGAAAGGGGACATCTCGCTATTGTCAACAACAGGCAAAGTTCTTGCTCGTGTCCTCGCCAACCGCCTGCTACCATTATCTGAGGAGATACTCCCTGAATCACAGTGTGGTTTCCGGTCATCTAGGGGAACAACTGACATGATCTTTTCTGCTCGCCAACTACAAGAAAAGTGTCGGGAACAAGGACTGCCTCTGTACATGGCCTTTATAGATTTGACTCCGTGGATCGGCACTGTGGAGCATACTATCAAAATATGGATGTCATGATAAATAGATCCGTGTGCTAAGACTACTGCATGATGGCATGTCCGCCACAGTGCTCAACGGTGGCTCTGAATCTGAGTCATTTACTGTAGAAACTGGGGTAAAACAGGGATGTATCATTGCACCCACCTTATTCGCCATCTTCATTGCAGCCATACTTCACCTTACTGGCCAAGAGTTTCCAGAGGGGATCCCAATCCTTTATAGGACTAACCCTAAGCCAAGAGTAAAGTCAGGAGTACCACCATCATAGAGCTGCGATATGCCGATGATAACGCCATTGCAGCACACTCCCCTGAAGACCTCCAGGGCATTCTAAATGCCTTTGCCAAGGCATACAGAGCCCTGGGTTTGGCCTTGAACATTCAAGAAAACTAAGGTTTTGTATCAACCACCACCTAACCAGCAATCACAACAGCCAGTTATCAAAGTGGATAACACCACTCTGGAAAACGTTGATCATTTCACCTACCTTGGCAGCATTCTCTCCTCCAAAGCTGATATAGACTGTGAAGTTAAACATCGCCTGAGCTGTGCCAGCGGAGTCTATGGCAAACTCAGGACAAGAGTCTTTGATGACCGAGACCAAGGTCCTGGTTTACAGAGCTGTGATCCTTCCAACTCTGTTGTGTGGAGCTGAATCCTGGACAATCTACAGCAGACATCTGAGAGCACTGGAACTATTTCATCAAAGAGCATTAAGGAAAATCTTGAGGATCAATTGGGAAGACAAACGTCCAAACTTCAGTATTCTGGAAGAAACAAATATGCCCAGCATCACTACCATTATAATGCAGCACCAGCTCCGATGGACAGGACATGTCATCCGCATGCCCAACAACCGTCTCCCAAAGCAGATCCTGTACTCCCAGCTAAAGGCCAGCAGCCATATCACCCTGTAGCCCAAGACTGGTTGCCCACTAAAGCTAAGCAGGGCTGAGCCTGGTTAGTACCTGGATGGGAGACCTTCTGAGAAAGCCAGGTCGCTGCTGGAAGAGGTGTTAGTGAGGCCAGCAGGGGGCGCTCGCCCTGTGGTCTGTGTGGGTCCTAACACCCCAGTAAAGTGATGGGGACACTATGCTGTCAAAAGAGCACCGTCCTTCGGATGAGACGTTAAACCGAGGTCCTGACTCTCTGTGGTCATAAAAAATCCCACGATGTCTTTCGAAAGAGTAGGGGTGTAACCCCGGCATCCTGGCCAAATTTGCCCAGTGGCCTCTGTCCATCATGGCCTCCTAATCATCCCCATATATACACCAATTGGCTTCATCACCGTCTCCTCTCCACCAGTAAGCTGGTGTGTGGTGAGCGTTCTGGCGCAATATGGCTGCCGTCGCATCATCCAGGTGGATGCTGCACATTGGTAGTGGTTGAGGAGATTCCCCCCTTCTATGTGAAGCGCTTTGAGTTTCCAGAAAAGCGCTATATAAATGTAATGAATTATTATTTATTATTAAAGGAAGGACAGCGAGCCCCTGCTGGGCCAAAGAAACGCTTTAAGGACAATATTAAGACCAACCTAAAAAAGTTTAACATCATATCTGGCGACTGGGAGAATCTAGCATTTAACAGGTCCTATTGGAGAAAGGCAGTGCTTGAAGGTGCAGGACACCACGAAGCGGAAGCACCGCAAGGACAAACAGAGAAAGGCTCAACCACAACACAACACCTCAACCTTTCAATGCCAACACTGCACTGTAAAAATGAATATGCTCTATCTAATCAATAAAACTGTGGCAACAGATTACAAGCAATATTATTTATTAAATTGAACAAATTAGAATTGAGTAATAGTTAATCAAATTAACATTCTAATTAATTCTAATTTGTACAATTTAATTAATAATATTGCTTGTAATATGTTGCCACAATTTTATTGATTAGATAAAGTATATTATTTTTTTCAGTGTGCAGTAGAATCTGTGGATCAAGGATTGGCCTCTACAGCCACCTGAGGATCCACAAATAAGGTGACCCAACGGAGAGGACAGTCATACTCGTCTCGAATGTTTGAAATGCCACCTTATTTACCTTATACAGTATTTCATCGTATTCAATAAATATTTTTTTGACTGGGGTGAAAGAACACTTCCTTTGTGATTGAAACAAGACAAAAATACTGAGGTAAATCATATTTCTTTTTTGCAAAGCATGAGTCATCAATGTTGGATTTCTTTTATTTGTGAATTCAGTCAATTCCTCCTCTTGTTCAAATTGACACTTGATTTTAGTCGATTGTTCTAGTCTGAGTCACTGGAATGCAGATTTTTGTTTTTTTAATTGACACACAACACATACCCCAATGTGTGTGTGTGTGAGGGTCAAAGGCTTTAGGTGGAATAACACGGCATGGCACATTTGATGTAAATGGTAAATGGAGTGCTTTTTATTTTTGTCTTAACTAACCGATTTATGTCTCCGCTGGCACTGGTGTTTAATACTGTGTGTTTGGTGTTTATATGCGTGTGTAATGAGCAGCCTGGGCCGAAGCGTTGGATCTGTGTGCTGGCTGCAGTCTGAGCTGCATCGACATCAAACAGCAGAGGCACACACTCGTCTCTCCAGCGTTACACTCATCAGACGGCACTGCTGCCTTTGCTCTCGATATTTAAAACTTCATTTAAAATTAATGAATGTGAACTGCATATAAAATACAATTTTAACATTTTTTAAGCATATTTGAAAATGAAAAGCAGGTACGATTTCTATACTCAATCATATTGCATAATTTATTATTATTTAAATAAAATAAATCATTATTTTTGAAATGCATTTATTCAAAAAGCTAAGCATCAGTCAATTGTGAAAATAATTACATTTATTCAGTTAACCTGGTTAATGATGGCTAGCTTTGGAGCAAGCAATTTCCAATTAGATAAATACATTCAAATGCAAATTTGAATTATTGATGATAAATATATAAACCTGGTTATTGTGAATTTAAAACAAATTCAGTTTATTTGTACCGGTTTCATTTATGAATGACTGACAAATATCCATCAAATTCATTTTATATGTTGAAGCTGTATGCAATTCAAATACATAAATCTTAAAGGCCTAAATATTGTTTTGTGCCAAATTCTGTGAGAAGGCAATCCCAGAATGCTTTGCACAGCTCACTTGCTTTTGAAACAGAACTTCTCTCTCCCTCTCTCAATCATGTCTTAAAGTGCGTACCGTGCCGTGTTTATGTTTGGTATTTATTTTTATACTCGTGTTTGTGTGCATGTGTCCGCGCGGCGTGTGCTCTCTTGAAGGAGGTGATGTCATCACTCAGGCCTTCCTACTGTAAGAAGTCTTCGAATGGCATTACATCAGCATGCGAGACCCCAAGCGAGCGCAGTGTCATCCAGAACAGCTGCCGCTGGAATCGGATTCATCCCGCAGTCCTTCTTCCTGTCTTATTCCCAAACAGCTTCTATCTAGGAACATTCCCTCTAGAAATACGGATGCGGTCACCTCTCCGTGTCGTGGGTGTTTTTGGACGCGCTGACACTGCCGTTTGCTCGCTGACCTTGTCCTTCAGTGTTTAAACATTCTTCAGTCGCACTTGTTGACTTGTTTGTCATTAAGCGATTGCAAGATCTTTGATTCACGCGTTTACAGCGCTGTCAGATCTGCCGTCCAGGCGTCTGCCGCTGTTGTGACCACACTGTTGCTAATGAGACGCCTAATTCAACACACGCAATCCCTCTTACATAAAGTTTTACAGGGGAATCTCAAAGAGAACATTCCCGGGTCATGTTTCGCCCCATTATCAAAAGAGAAAAATAGCAGTTTATATTTTGCAAAAAGAAAATCAAGCGTTTTTGGACCATTAAAAAGAAAGTACTGTTATATTATTTTATGACAGCTAAACATTTCCTTATAAATTTACCTTCCAACCCCAAAACATTTGGTCCAAGAAATTTAACACATGGAAATTTTAGGAAAATGTAAAACAACAAAAAATATGTATTTGTTTGTTTGTTAAATTTAATTTAATATTATCCATATTTTATGTATAACATGGAAAAACCTTATGAAAATGTAAAACAATTAATTAGAAGATTTGTTTTTTTATCATTTTAAATTTTATTGTTAAAATTATAATCCAGGTTTTTATGATAATAATAATCAATGTCATTATAATAACTCTCAGAATAATAATCAACAACAATAATAATAATAAAATCTAGGGCTGTCAAACGATTAATCGCGATGAATCGCATCCAAAATAAAAGTTTGTGTTTACATATACACAATATATATATATACAATATAGTATTACATACAATATATGTGGGTGCACTGGGTATAATTATTTTGTATATATATAAATACACACACATGCATGAATATTTAAGAAAAAAGTATTATTTATCTATAAAATATTTATATTTATATATAATATAAATTATATATATAAATCTATATACAGTATGTACATGAAAATATTTCTTAAATATATACAAGCATGTGTGTGTTGTCACGTAGTGGTTTTGTGTGTTTTCGTTATTAGTTATTGCCCGTCTATTATTTATCCCAGGTGTTTCTCATTTCTCACGCCCCCTTGTTATCTTGTCTAGCTCGTTTATCCTTGATTATTTAAGCCCTGTTATTCTGCCCTGTCTTGGTTGGTTGTTTGAATTTATGTATGTGAACGTTGGTGTTTTTGTATTCTTGCTAGTCTTGCTTCTTGTCTTGTTTCAAGTTTCTGATTAAAGCTACACTGCATTTGGATCCAGTCTCAGCGCTATTTCTCCGCACAGCGTCACATGTGTATGTATATATATATATATATATATATATACAGTATATAATTATACACAGTGCACCCACATATATTATGTAAACACAAACTTATTTTGGATGCGATTAATCGCTTGACAGCCCTAATAAAATCATAATAATACAAATTATTTTCCTGAGGTTTATTTAGTGACACCAAAATTGTTAAATATATTATTTGTTTGTAGTTGAAGATCAAATATTTTCATACACATGAAACCTGTTGAAACATTATGATGAAAAACGTAAAGTTCTGAACTGATCTCTTGCAGCGGGAACATTTAGTAAACCAGATGATTAATTACAGTAATCGTGCTATTTGTGTGTGTCTGTGTTTTGCAGGACCGAGTCTGGGATTGTGAAGTTGACTCAGCGACTCTCTCTGAAGGACAAACACAGCAAGGAGGACAGGAGCCTGCCGTCCAGACCTCCAGCCTACAGGAGGCGCTCTCTCAGCGTGGACTGGTACTTTTACTCCAACATTCACATCACAGCAAATGAGCCTATGTTAGAAATAATGTCATTTTAAGGCCCATTCACACCGCACCGACAGATCAGCGAACATGTTGAATCGGTCTTGGAATATCTGAGGAGTGACGTACTGTAATCTGGTGACTGTCAGCGTTAGTGTCAGTTGGCCTTTAAACAGCTAAAAACCTGTTTGAGAGAGGTTGACCAGCCATTTGGACTCAAAAGATAGCAAGGAAGCCATGTTGGCTCTGAACGCTGCTGTTTTCCCATGGTTTTTCCTCTGCTCATCTCCACAGACATCATGACTCCAGTTATGACTGCCTCTCTCTTCTCCACCCTCCCCATCTGTCACGGCTTTTGCACGTCCAAAACTCACAAATGGAGTCACTTGCAAGATGCGTACAGAAAAGATGATAAACATGCACATAAGGCACAAGAATCTGTCTGGCATTTATTTCACTTTGACCAGAATTACTCATTTGGCAACGCAATTTTTCATGGTACTTCAAGAAAGCATCTCAAGTCAAATCACATTTATTTGTATAGTGCCGTCATGATTTTCTTCCAAAGCAGTTCATTTTTATAATATCCTAATATCCTTATGCCATTTAGTTGCATTTATAATATAGTTAACATTTTGTAGTGATATAAACAATCATATGCAAATAAAGTTAGACATTCTAATCCAACTTTATATAAAGAGCTGGACGATAATAAAGTTACATTTTACAGTAAAAAATAAAATTGGATAAAGTTGTATATAATATATAGCCAGCTAGGGCTGTCAAACGATTAATCGCATCCAAAATATAAGTTTGTGTTTACATAATATATGTAGGTGCACTGTGTATAATTATTATATATATAAATATACACACATGCATGTATATATTTAAGAAATATTTTCATGTATATACTGAAAATAGATTTATTTTTAATTTATATTATATATAAATAGAAATATTTTAAATATAAATAATATTTTTTCTTAAATATACATGCATGTGTGTGTATTTATATATATACAAAAAATAATTATACACAGCACACACACATATATTATGTAAACACTTTTATTTTGGATGTGATTAATCGCGATTAATCGTTTGACAGCCCTATAGCCAGTCTAATCTACAGAGCTGTGCCATAATGTTCAGAAGACCTTAAAAGGTCTTTAAATGGACTTTTTGTAATCCTGCTTGTATTTCCATTTTAAGTTTATGTGCTTTTCTTTGTGCCTATCGCTGGCCGCATCTGGGTCGTGGCATATGGCGAATTGGAGGCCGGGCTCCAGAGACGCATATAACTCCGGGGAGTCTCGGGGCGGCGTGTCCCCAGGATGTAGTCACCCTGGCTGGGCACGATGAGGGCTGGGCCCCCCTGTTTTTGGGACCGCGCGGAGACTCACGCAGACTCCCTGTCACCTCCTGCACGCCGAGCTGTCTGTCGCCAGTGCCTCTTAAGACTGGCCTAACGTCACACACACACACACACACGTACGGGGCCGTCGCACAAAGACACATCCGCGCACATGCATTCATACATTGATTGATCCTGCGCTCACATGCGCTTCTCGTCCCCCTGCAGAACATCCCCATGGCGACGGTCTTCTGTCTCTGCTCATCAGAATTAGAGAGATTTGCCCCCTGGGGTGGGGGGGGGGGCGAACGAACAGGTGGCGGGCAGTTGAACTCGACGCAGCAAACACTCTCACAGGGGAGCGACTACTACTGTGACAACACACCCGCATACCGGCACATGCACTCAAATACTCCCGCGTTTAATCTCTTAATCTGACTGGATTAGAACGCAAACGGCCAAGGCAGAAATACGCAATCACGCAGGCGTACGCGTGATGCGAAAAGACTGCGTTAAACAAACTCCTGTTCTAATGCTGCCCAAAAATCAAAATTTCACATAATGAAATACCTAATTTTGGATTATTACGATGTTTTGCGATCTGAGATTTTATTCGTTTCCATTGTTCTAATTGTGAAGAAAACTCAATTTTACTATATTGTCCAAGGTTTTAAGCATTTTTTTAAGGCAAGGCCAGTCACTGTAAAAAATATTGTCAATATTTGTTATCACAACATATTTTCTTTTGTCAAATCAACTTTATAATAATTTATTTAGTTGAGATAACTTATTATTTTGAGTTTCTGATGATTAAATCAATCTCCTTCATTGTATTAACTCAATCAACTTAAAATTTTAAGGCAACCCAGGTTACTTACTTTTTTAAGTTAAACCAACAATATTTTTTTACAGTTTAGGAATCACAACATTTTTTCTTTTGTCAAATCAACTTAAATAATTTATTTAGTTCAGATAACATATAATTTTGAGTTTCTAATAATTAAATCATTCTCCTTAATTGTATTAACTCACTTTTTCCATTTCAATGAACTTAAAATTTTAAGGCAACCAGGTTACTTACTTTTTTAAGTTAAACCATCAATATTTTTTACAGAAGATTGTGCGCTATCGCAACTTGTCTTCTTTCAGACTAATGGAAAGAAAACACCCAAAATACACGGTAACACTTTTCAATAAGGTTCATTTATTAAACATTAGTTAATGTGTATTAACTAACATGAACTAACCATTTGTTACTGTATTTGTTATTCTTTGTTAACGTTAGTTAATACAAATCCAGCTGTTCATTGTTGTTCACGTTAGTTCACAGTGCATTAACTAATGTTAACAAGATTTTTAAAAAGTATTAGTAAATGTTGAAATTAACATTTAGCAAAGATTAACAAATGCTGAAGAAGTATTGTTCATTCTTTGTTAATGTTAACTAATGTAGTTAATTAATGAACCTTATTGTAAAGTGTTGCCAAATACACATTTAATATTATTTTATTTCGTTTGATTTCTTTGCATGTGTTGAATTCAAAATGCAATGCATGTCTTTTAAAAGGCTGATTTTTTTTTTTCAGTACATTCAGATTTCTGCTCTGGAAATGAATGCAAATTAGTGCGTGTTTAGTTCAATGAATGTATCATTTGCATATTTAAACATAACATTGCAGAGAACTTGTAATGCAAAACAGTTGTCTTGATATAGGGAACGTTTGGTGATATCTATTAGTTGCTATCTATTATTTTCACCTTATGTAGTGTCTTGCCTTTAGTAAATTTATTATGAGAATAAGCTTTAAGTGCATTATAATAATGAGAATATTCTTTGGAAAAGTGCTTAATTGTCATTAAAATAAATGACAAATATCCTTTGTTCATGCAGAATATAACATACTAATTTCTTGAGTTTTAAGGTGAAATGTGAGCCGGACATGTTCTGATTGCTGAAGATCTCTGTTGTGACATGCAAACCTGTCTGCGTGTCTTTCAAACGGGGAGGGAATCAACTGATTAGCTTTGATTCCCCATTGTGTGTGTGAGAGGTCGAAGGGTTAGACTGGCTCCACTAGGCCTGAAGTACACAAGAGAGAGAGAGAGAGAGAGAGGGGTTCTGTTGACCCTAGTAACACACACACACTAATCGGGAATACTGTCCTCGCTGCCCCCCTCCTGTTGCTTACTGTCACACACACTCCCCCTCCAAATTTTGGCTGGTCGGACTGCAGTCTGTCTGGTGCCAAGAATCAAATTTCCGACTCTCCTTCTTCTCGCAGCCACATATAACCCTCGTTGAGGAGTCCCTCTGCCCCCTTTACGTCTGTTATAACCAACTATTGGTTGAGAGAAAGAGAGATGTCGCCCGCTCTTTGCGTACATGTCTAAATATTTAGTTTTCTTTGATTGATGACGTTGACGACGTGAAAGAATCAGCCTCGCACACATCCGTTGTCTCTTGCATCTTATGCATTTACGTGAAATCCATCTCAGCATCTTTTTGCGGTTGATTGGGATCAAAAATGTATCTCTAAATGTATACTTCGTTACATCTCAGAATTAGCGTAACAAGTAAAAACGTATGTCTTTGTTGAACTCGAGGAAGGAAACTAAAATTTTTACTAAGATAGAAAATAATTTAATTTAATAAGCTTTTTTTTAGTGCTTTAGACAATATTCATTTATTCATATTTCCACTAGAGCCAGATCGATATATCGGCCGATATTAGGCATTTTCCATAATATCGGTATCGGCAGTTATAATGGGCAATAAATGAATATTTAAAAAATAAAATAAAAATGGACTAAACACGCTTTAATCATCTCTCCTTGGCCTGTTATATTGAAAATGTATGCTTTATAATTTGCAGTATGATGTTATCTATTGCTAAATTATGGCTCATCGGCATAGACTAGCTAACCACAAAGCTAGCTAATGCCACTATCATCAGTGGAAGACCGCTAACGTTAACATTAATGAGCTTGGAAACCACAATGAACTTTTTCTGCCTAAATCAAGTAATGATTACTGTATTTATAACTAGCATATCTCTAGTTACAGTCCCTGCATTGTAAAATGTAAGTTATACTTGCGAGGAGTGAACATTTAGACATAGAGAAAAAGTATCAAACGTATCTTGTGCAGAAAAGTTAGCTTTTCTTTTACACGTGTGTGAAATCCAACAATATTTAATAAAAAAAAATATCGGCCGATATATCGGAATATGGGACTTTAAAACCCCAAAATATTTGTATCGGTATCGGCCTTCAAAATCCTTTATCGGTCGGGCTCTAGTTTCCACTGTAAAAAAATATTTTCATGTTTTGTAATCACAAGATTTTTTCTTTTGTCAAATCAACTTATAGAATTTATTTAGTTCAGTTAACATATTATTTTAAGTTTCTGATGATTAAATTAAATTAATCTCCTTCATTGTATTAACTCACTTTTTCCATTTCAATGAACTTAAAATTGTAAGGAAACCAGGTTACTTACTTAGATAGAAAATACTATAGTTTAATATGCTTTTTTAGTGCTTTAGACAATATTCATTTATTCAATTTTCCACTGTAACAAAATATTTTCATGATTTGTAATTTGTAATCACAACCTTTTTTCTTTTGTCAAATCAACTTATAGAATTTATTTTGTTCAGTTAACTTATTATTTTGAGTTTCTGATGATTAAATCAATCTCCATTTCAATGAACTTAAAATTTTAAGGAAACCAGGTTACTTCATTTTTTTAAGTTAAACCAACAATATTTTTTTTTACAGTGTAATGCCTCATTAGATAGAATTTTTTCCAGATTTTAAATTCAGAATTATAACAATCTTCAGATTATAGTGTATTATATCGTTTTTGTTTTTCTGGTTTAATTAAAGATACATAATCTATAGTCATTCATTTTGCTGTTATATAAACTTTTTACGCAAAAACATTTTATCCTTTGAAAGTTGAAACTGTTTTAAACCTTTTCCCATTTCCAACCTTTTACTCAAGCTCTGTTTATCTGTCTGACTGTTATATAAAACGCTTTATTCACAAAAGTGACATTCAAAGTCAGCGTGCGACCAAAAATCTCATGACATTTACTTACATTTTTCATAAATATCTTAACATTATTGAATAGCTCGCCTAGCCTATATGATGTCAAATGAAAAATCATTTCAGATGAACAACAAGCGCTGGCGAATAGATCAGGATACAGCAACAGAATGCTGAAGTTGTCATTTATTTTCCGTATAGCAACATCAGATCTAAAACGAGTGACACGAACTCCTCGAACTACTCTCCAGCTTTTATCATTGTTTCACGTGAAACACGGCAGATAATTCAGCGGCCACATTAGCAGTGGCACCGGGGAGAGTTTGATCTCGGAGGTAAATGTGAACATGTGTTCGGGGAAACGGTAAAGAGTAATCTCTTACCATCAGTGAGCTCAACACATGCACATGTGTGCGGGATTGCATGTGTTTATATGCGCCTACTGTTCTCAATGGCTATTATTCTTAGACGGAGGCATTACTCACAAAATTTTCCATACTATGGCCTATTCTCATTTAGCCTTGACTTACTGGACGTGTTAAATGTGCTCGTATTTGTGTGCTAAATTTTGCTTCGCCTTTTGATGTGATGCCAGACACAATCCCCGGATATCTGAGCACTTTTGCCCCCAACTTGACTCTGCGTTGTGTGTGTGTGTGTGTGTGTGTGAGTAAATAATTGTTTGTTGCGCTGTACATTCCTGTCCAAATGTCATTTTTTAATTACAAAAATCAACATGAATTCAAACATGTCACTCTTTTGGCACTAAAGCTACATAAAACTCGAGATTCAATGGATGAAGACACATGATCAATGTCACTAATTTACTTACATATGATTAATACATAGAAATATCACAATTGTAAATGTTTCAATATTCAAAAAATGCTCTAATTTCCAGGTTTAAATATGCTTTGGAATGTAATTCTCAGTGTGGTCTCACAGTAATTGTGTGGTGGGAAACTGTTTTGTGTGTGTGTGTCCGTTCTATCACTATTCGTCTGATGGGGTGCTGAGACGGCTGTGTTAACATGTGGTGTCCCTGTTTCTTTTGTCTTTCTCTCTTTATCCCTCGTTCTTTCATCTGCTAGTCTTTCATGTGAGTGCGCGCGCCGTTCGCTCGGCAGCCCGTGTGTTCAGCACAAGAGGAGAAACTTTAAGCCCAGAGATCAGCCGCCTTTGAAACTGATCCGGGCTGCCACAAATATACCCACTTTTATCTGCTCACAGCGCATACCTGCCCGTTAAAATAAGCACGTTATTATCAGAGCACTCGGAGGTGTTCGCCTGCATCCGACGCGGACAATGGTCCGTCCTAATACGAGAACATTTGTGACGGTTGTGGTTCTCGGAGCCCTTTGTTCTGTTTCCAAATCCGAAGCCCCTCTGAATCAATCTTGATATCAGGGTGAACATGTTGTTCCTCAAATTATATCAGCGGACAATCAATATGGATTTTGCAGTTATTGATTCTTAAAATTGTTCTTTTATTAGTCTTAGTCTATTGGTGATTTTTTTATTTATTTTTTTATTTTTTTTTTTACATAAACCTCACTATTTTGTGCTTTCTTTTTTTTCTCAATTTTGGCAAGAGTTATCTTTAAAAAAAAAAAAATTATTTGTTTATTTCAAATACAAATGCCATTATTTTAACAGAGATTGTATTTTTTTCATTTTCAATCCCTCCCCGACCACCCCAGAACAACCTGCCTTAGTCGTATTATAACCTGTTAAATAAACAATAATAGTACAAAAGATGATGAATAATAATAATGACACTAATAATAAAATAAATATACAGCTGTTAAACAATGACAATGTTTAAATTTACATAAAAATAAATAAAATAAAATAAAATAAAAGAGAAAGACAGTTGGACACCACAATCAAAGGTGCAACAATGATACATCAATAAACACAAAACCTAAATATTTACACATGTAAATACCCGGAGAAACACCTGCTGGAACTGTGCTTATTTTGTAAAATAAGAAAATATAGTTACAAGAAAGATTTTAAGACACCAAATTTAGAAAAATCTAACATAAATTTATCTCGTCAATATAAATATTGGTAACGCTTTACGTTAGTTAATACATTAACTAGAATTAACTAACAATGAGCAGTCCATTTGTTACAGTATTTTTTTTTAATCTTTATTAACATTAGTATATAAAAACACAGCTGTTTATTGTTAGTTTAAGTTAGCTCAGGTACATTAAATCATATTATACAACTTTTGATTTTAATAATGTATTAGTGTAATGTAATGTAGTCAACTAATGTTTACATATAGAGCCTTATTGTAAAGTGTTACTGATATGTTTAATAGAAAGAAAAATGCCTATTCAAATTTTGTTGTGGTTTATTTCTTGTTAAAAATAAAAAATGTGGTAAGTATGCAAGTATTTATCCTCTAACAATGTTTTTTTATTATTATTTGTGTGCTGAAAATTACAAGAATGTAAATTTTTTCTTTTCAGGGCCGAATCCAAAATGACTCAACAGATTCCAGACCCACATCCTCTGATTCCACGCAAATGCCCCAGCACGTCATGTTCGTCTCCTCCGAGTGCCGCACGACGCCTCTACAGAAACCTGTCTGGAAAGTTTCGCACGACGAACCTGCTTCTGGAAGATACGGCACTCCCGGGCCAGTTGGACAAGGACCATCCGCGTAAAACCACCATGGTGAGATGCAAACACTTAAACAAGACCTATATGAAACTAATTAGTCTCATATAACTATTGAATTTTGACATTTCAGCTTGTTTGACTGACATAAATAACCTTTAGCAGTTGATGATGCCATTTGAGAAGATCCTAAATACTGAATACCTATAATAAACCTTCAAAGAACCGTATTGCAACTCAAAAACTTTATAGTAAAAAATGGCATTGTGTTTGCATGCATTTTCTATGTCTGTGCATGCATGTGTAGTTCCAGGGCAACGAGGCTCTGTTTGAAGCCGTGGAGCATCAGGAGCTGGATGTGGTGGAGTCTCTGTTGAGCGCCTTCAGTCTGGAGGAGCTGGACTTAAACACACCCAACAGTGAAGGCCTGCTGCCACTCGACATCGCCATCATGACCAACAACGTCCCCATGGCCAAGCTTCTGCTGAGAGCCGGGGCCAAGGAGAGTCCCCACTGTGAGTACACACTTACTGCGATCAAACGAGACCTACTTTATGAATCATAAACCATACTTCTACAGATGTTTGCCACATGCTATACATTACAATAAAGCAGTAGTGGCTTATTGCTTCAATCAAACGGCGGCAACAGCAATGTGATATGGTATGCAACACCAAAGATCAAAACATAATGTCTGTTTCCCCCACATTTTTTATACTGTAGTTATCATTATCTAAATCGAATGCTCAGGTCATATTTCATCCCGTATTATGTTTTATATTATTTTCTGTTATATTTTGGATAATGAATATGAAGTGTAATTTTAGGAGCAGTGTTTTTTTTTTGTATTTTTGCATTATTTTTGCAGCCTCCCATTCTTATTACTGTCATTTGAAAAAAATTTTTTTAATAAATTAATTAAATTAATACATTTTTGTATCATGGTAGTTTTTGCTGTCCTGAACTTAATTTATGCTTATTATTGTTTTATTACAACAATGTAATTTTTGTTGAAAATTTTCCGGCAAATTTTTTGGGGTGAAGTATGATTGGGACATTTCTTGCAATTTAACGATACAAAGTAATATAACTTATTGTAATATAACTTATTGTATATTATAATAATATAAGTAATATAACTATAACTGAACAAATATCAAAGATAATTGGAATTAATTTGCTTATATCAACTTTAAAAAAAATAAAAATAAATATACATTGGTTACAAACATGGCCATTCATAACTTTATAATATACACTCATTTATTTATACTGAGTTTTTTACACAAGTGTATTGTAGATCAGTAATATGAATGGATGTAGGTTCAAAGCCTTAGGAGGAAATACATTGAATTATCAATTTGTTAAACAAAACGGAAAAATAAGCCGTCTTTTCTTTTCTCGTTATTCTTTTCCAAATTGGAAATGAAATGCTTAAAACATACATGGTGGATGTAGAATTCCACATTTCGAAACTTAGCTCTTGGGGTTAACAAAAAAGTTTATTTTTCAATGCAAATCTCTTTTATGTATTCTCTAGTTCTGAGTCTTGAAGGCAGAGCTGCTCACCTGGCCTCCCTGGTGCAAGAGGCGGAGCATCGCATAGCGGAGCTGGTTGCCCAGGTAACGGGGGAGGAGCCTGGGGAGAGGGAGGAGTCAAACAGAGAGAGACAGCTGAAAACATGGGAATGGAAGCTCCGCCTCTACAAGCGCATGCAGACGGGATTCACACACGCCAGTGAGTAACACACACGCAACTGTGGTTTTAGTGACTGGTCATGATTCTGAGTGACTTTGTGTTGTTTTCAGGTCCTCCTGAACCTCCCAGCAACGTTCATCTGTCTGTCAGCAGTATCAACAGTCTCAGAGTTTACTTCCAAGAGCCTCTTTGTCACAACTCTGCTGTTATTACCAAATACCGCGGTGAGTGACCCCTCATGACTCATCCTGTTATAGGGATGATTTAGATTATACCACCAGAACACATGAACACACACGGCTGACTCATCGACTCGCATCAGCGGTTTGACGGCCAGCTAGAGAATATGTTCCACACAGCCGAGTGAGATGCGGGTGAGAAATGAAAATATCTCGCAAATTATATTGCCAGATTCACACTTCTAGTGCTATCCAGTGTTCGTTTATATACTACTAGTTTTTATAAATATTTCACATTTCTGTCCGCCTTGGAGTATCCAAAACAAAACACACTTTATCAACAAACATTGACAAAAACAATGAACTAAGGGCTTAAATACAGACACAGAGTAATCAATGGAAACAGAACAGGTTGAAATCAATAAACAACCAAGGAAACTAAATGTGACTAGGAACTAAGGCAACACTAGCACAGGAAACAGTGAAAACGAAACTAAAAATGACTATACACATTACAATTGGCTTTTAATTTGTTAAATTTTACATTTGTGAATTACAAAAGAGGAGCAAAAACATTTTGTCAAAGAATTTAGTTGTGCTTTTGTCTTTTTTTTATTTCGGTTTTATTTCAATTAACATAAATGTTTTTAATAATTTTAGTTTTAGCATTAGTTAGTTAATGATTATAACAAATTTCTGTCCGCCTTGGAGTATCCAAAACAAAACACACTTTATCAACAAACATTGACAAAAACAATGAACTAAGGGCTTAAATACAGACACAGAGTAATCAATGGAAACAGAACAGGTTGAAATCAATGAACAGTCAAGGAAACTAACGGTGACTAGGAACTAAGGCAACACTAGCACAGGAAACTAAAAATGACTATACACGTTACAATTGGCTTTTAATTTGTTAAATTTTACATTTACATTCATGCATTTAGCAGACACTTTTACTCAAAGTGAATTACAAAAGAGGAGCAAAAGCATTTTGTCAAAGAATTTAGTTGTGCTTTTGTCTTTTTTTTATTTCAGTTTTATTTCAATTAACAGAAATGTTTTTATATAATTTTAGTTTAAGCATTAGCTAGTTAATGCTAATAACCCCGGTGATTAGACCAAAACATTAGACCTTTTGGTAGTTAATAACCATTAGATTAGATGGTCTCTGAGTAGTTCAGACATCTTAGAAATTTGCGTGTCATACTTTGTGAACAAATACACTTCAGTATACAAAAATATTTAGCCCTCACAGGGTTACCATACAAAGCAAACGATACACAAATACACCAGGTCACAGTTTATTTCGCCTTATAGAACTAGCACTGTTGAAGTCACATGATCCGTGACGCATGCCCATGGCATGGTGGTAGTACTAGTACAGTACTAAATGACTGCTTGCTTGTGTGTTCATCAGTGAGCTGGAGCAGCGTTCCTTCATTTACCCCATTGCTCGGTGAGACGGTAATCGAAGACGTGACTCAACTCCAGTATGACATCACTGGACTTTTAGCGGTTAGTATATGGAGTAAAACATTGTACTACAAACAATGTTACAATGCATTGGAGTCGAAAACGGTTGAGAACCTAAAGTCATTTTAAAAAAATTGATATTACTTTAATGTTTCTAGGATATAATCAGGATATTAAACAGTGATGATGGAGCAGATCACTGCTCTCAAACTTCATTTGCACATCTAACTTTATTCATGATTGGGTGGTTTGAGGCCTCTTGAGCTGCCAATTTTGGTGCTTTATTGTCTATTTTGGAGGACTTTAAGCTCTAAAAATGTAAATTCAAAATTTTTTTTTTAATATTCAACAGATGAAAGAAAGTCAGTGACATTTTGGTTTTTCATTTTGGTTGATTGTGTTATATTATTGGTTAATAATATTCATTTACCTTTGCTTGTGTCAGGAGGAAAGTAAAGTTGTTTCAGAGGTGAAGAGCAAAGAAAGATGTACAAACACACAAAAAATTGTTTTATAGAATATATTGAGCACAACAGTGTTATTTATTTGATTTTTATATGGTATTTTATGCTATGTTTTGTCATTTTTATTAGTGTTTTTTAAGCTTTAATTTATTTTTTTTTGATATAGATGACAGATATATCAGTTGAGAGCATGAATTCAGTGATCTCATCATTGCAACTTGATTTCTGCTCACGAATACTGCAGTGAAGACTGCATTATTGATTATGACGGGAGTTTTGGCGAGAGAGAAACAAACAAATAATGCTCTACTTAGACATACATGTAATTAAAAATAAATAACCACTTTCCTAGCAGGATGGTAATGTTGGTTTTAGTCCAGTGATCCTGCTCTCTCTTATCTCCTTCTCATCTCACTAACACGCCAAAGACACGATGATGAAGACGTAGGCATTGATCTAAGTCTTCAGAGGCGGTCTTTCATCATGTCATAACTAGGGCTGTAGTCAACCAAAGAAATAAATCCTTAGTCGACTAAAGTCTTGTCCTGCGCAACGATTAGTCGACTAAAAAAAAAAAAAAACACCATGTTTTGATTGAACTTTTTTTTTTTTACTCTTTATTTATTCATATAACAACAAACATGACATAACAAAACAGAACAGCAGGGTGTAATGTTGCAAAGAATCCCTTTCACACTTGAGTCTTATAGAGTATCCATTTCTTCCATCTCTTTTCAAAAAGAGCTGATTTCAGCCGAACAAAGTGAGTGATTTTTTCCATTGTAAAGATTTCTTCCATTATCTCCTTCCATTGTGACACTGTTAAAGTGTGACTCTTCAGCCAGTTCCTTGTAATAGTTTTTTTTTTGGTGATTGAACATTTTTTAAACAATTGTCAATTGACAAAACAACAACGAAAAAACATCACAAATAAATAAAACTATAATAATAATACAATTCTTTGAAAATTAAGTGATTTTTTTATCTGCAAAAAGTGAGGAGCTCTCTCAAACAATCCTAATAATAGGCTGTAGGACCGCATATAGGTTTATTTTCATTTTTTTATTTTTTTTTTTTTTGTTGCATTATTTAGGCTATTTTCAAATGCGTCAAGTGTACAAATTAAAACGAAAACATATTAAGAAAACACAATCTATTGAGTCAACATGATATAGCAGTTAAGTTAAAAGGCTGCTCACGTCTTTTGCGCGCTCAAGTTCGATTTCAAATGTAGGCGCGCGACTTGCGCGCTCATAATGGAGCAACGCGGTCGCCTCCCTCCACAGTCTTGTCGTCTTTGTTTTAAAATGCAGCCAGACAAAAGATTTAGATTTCCTGGACATTTTGTCGACTAAAGCCAAAACAAGTAGCGTTCTAACTGAATGAATACAGCATCCCTTACCGAGCGCGAAGCAGCAGCGCAGCCGGCCACAAGTGCGGTTCCCGAGTGTATGTGTGTGCGCTAAACTGTGGCGGAGTTACAAAAATAGCCTAAATTAAAGCATTTTAAAGTTGGGGACAAAACATAGGCTAATTATATTTATAATACAGCAATAAATAACTGCTTATAAAGGAATAAATATCAAGGAGTAAATCATTGAAAAATTCTTTCTATTGGTAAAAAAAAAAAATAATAAGAACGTCAGTCGACCAAGACGGCATCGACCGATTAGTCGACTAAAGTTGACAGCCCTAGTCATAACGTGACAAAATCTGAAACGAGTCATCTTTGGAGCTTGATTTCAATAAAAGCTGTTTTTGCACTAACAAGGTTGTTTTGAGTTACACTTCTAGTACTAGTACTGTCAAAAGGTAAAGGAAAACGTTGTATTTATATATAACTCAGATCTACCTCGTTTTACAGGGCATGTGCTGTTATGTCCAGTTATCAGCTTATAACATGAAGGGGTGGAGTTCACCTCAGATATCTGAACCTGCTTGTGCTACACCCTCAAGTGAGTATACAAACACACACACATATTAAACAACAACAAACAGGACAGATGTTAGTCATCTTTTACTTTCTAAGAAGTTGCATGACGTATCGTGCGTGCGTGCCTGTGATTTTGTATCCATGTTTGTTTGTGTGTGTTTACGTCTGGCTTCATTTGTGTTATATTTGTGTCCTCATTTTTATGTTTGTGAGGGCAAGCCGTCCTTTTCTCTCACAGATTTTAGGGCTCTTTTACGTTGAGAGTGTGTGTGTTTTGAGCATGCTAATTTAATGTGTGTGTTTGTGTTTTCCATTTCGACTCCCTCTGGAAATATTTGCATGTCTGTGAGAGGCTGTAAAGTTGCAGACAGAACGGCTCTTATACACCAACTCAAACACACACACACTCTTGTTGTCTCCCTCTACAATTCATGCTCACACACACACACACGCCGCTTTTCGGACACACTCAGAAATGATTTTCACCAAATTTTCTCTTATTTACAACTTGTTTGCGTCCTTTATCTCCCTCTCTCTGTCTCTTTCATATCACACACACACATGCACACACGCTCTCTGCGAGGTTAGCCGGGCTGAAGAGAGGGTCTGTGTTAGACATTCCGGGAATAGAGTGTCCACGTTTTCCCTGCTTTCCCGGTGAATCAGCCAACACACCATCAGAACATCATGCTGTTCACCGTGTGTGTTCGATGCAGGGATATAAGGCGAATGCTGACTTATTTATTAGCACTTTTTATTAACACGCACGCACCCATTACATAATCTCGTAGTTTTTGTTTTGAAAGACCTGAGACGTTGTGATTTGAAACACTTTTTCATATGCATTTGTTGTTTTCACTGTTTTTTCTGTTTTATTTTGCAGGTTGGAGGGAGGTGGACGGGTTTCCCCCCCGCCAGCAGGGTCTGAAAGAGGCGTTAGAGCAGCTCCTGGGGCAAATTAAAGGGGCACACCGTCACTGCACATGCCACGGTAAATACTCACTTACTCACTCCGGAGCTGAATGAAAAACCTCCTCATTCACACCGAGCCACAGTGACCGCGACCACAAACATTTAAGCGCTTTAAAACAAATGCTAAGTTAATATTTCAGAGGGGTCGAGCGGGCTGAGCTCGCGTGCTCACGTCTCCTGGGTGCGACTCCGGGGGTCTTGTTTGTTGTTTTTAGTGCATCAGGGCTGAGGGTTTATTTTACTGTGAGTTAAGAGGGATAAATTTGACTTGACTGTAGGGCTCGCGTGATCACATGCTCCGTAAGGAAATCACTGCCTGCTCGCTCCTGTCTGAACACTGATCATTAAACTCTAATTAAGCTATAAAAGGGTCTTTAGAGACACAGTCCTCCCCATTGGTGATATATTGTTGGTCTGAGCAAAGCAGATACTTTACTTCCATTCACACACACATTATAAAGATGTGCATTTTAAATCTCTTGAATTGGGGTCAGTTATTAAGATTATTACCCTTATCCTATACATAACTTATATGTATTTTTTTCAGTCATTAATTGTTTTTCACCTCAATGTTTAAAGGAGTAGTTCACTTTAAAAAAAAACTTTAGCTGATAATTTACTCACCCCCATGTCATCCAAGATGTCCACGTCTTTCTTTCTTCAGTCGAAAAAGAAATAAAGGTTTTTGGATTTTTCTCCATATAATGGACTTCAATGGGGTCCAAACGGTTCAAGGTCCAAATGAGAGTTTCAGTGCAAACTGTTCAAAGGGCTTTAAACGATTCCAGACGATGAATAAGGGTCTTATCAAGCGAAACGATCGCTCATTTAAAAAAAAAAAACAAAGTTTAAGTTTTATAAGCACAAATGCTCGCCTTGCTCTGTTCTGTGATGCGTGTTTGTGACTCTCCTGTTCAAACTCGTTCATCAAAATGAACTAATCTTTTCCAATTTGGTCATTTCGTTCGTTGAATGAACCAAATGACACGAAAAAAGATTCGTTCATTTTGATGAACGAGTTCGAAGAGGAGAGTCACAAACCAGCATCACAGAACAGGGCAAGGCGAGCATTTGAGCTTATAAAATTTAAACTTTGTTTGTTTTTTTTTTTTAAATGAGTGATCGTTTCGCTTGATAAGACCCTTATTCACCGTCTGGTGTCGTTTAAAGCCATTTGAACAATTTGCAGTTTGCACTGAAACTGTCTTTTGGACCTTGAACCGTTTGGACCCCATTGAAGTCCATTATATGGAGAAAATCCTGGAATGTTTTCATTAAAAACCTTAATTTCTTTTCGACTGAAGAAAGAAAGACATGGACAGCTTGGATGACATGGGGGTGAGTAAATTATCAGCATACATTTTTTTTAAAGTGAACAACATATTCATTTAGCGAATCTAATCTTAATCTAAAGTTAAAGTTGGAAAGCAATAACTTGCTCCCTGTGTGTTTAGAACAATGCAAACCCCCGTTGAACACCAGGAAACACTCTGTGTCTAAAAGTCTGAGGCATCTCTTCCAGCCCACCAGCAAATTTGTCAAAAATCTGAAAAGGTGAGAGAAAACAACATCAGGAAATGGATGTTGTGTAATCAAACTGCATCATCAGTGACGCCTCTCTCTTCCTCTCTGTAGAGGTCTTTATCTGGCCTGTATATTTTATAAAGATGAAAATGTCCTGGTGACTTCAGAGGATCAGCTGCCTGTCGTTGAGGTGGACGACTCGTACAGCTGTCACGCACAGGATCTACTTTGGTTCACAAAGGTAACAACGTGTATCGGTGGGGATGCACAAAACCAGATTATTTTGTTGAAGTATTTGTAAAGGTGCTGGTTTGGTGAGGTGACTTGCTTGTAGTTTTGTTTAGCTTTTGTTTTTTAATTGCATACATGAGATTACAATTCAAAGTGTATCATGATCTTACATAAAGCAACCCAAAATGATATATGGCAATGTAAAACACTTTTTTTAATATATATGAAGAGTTCAGATGCAAAAGCCTCTAAGTGCCATTTGAAATTTTCTTCTTTAATGATGATTTTTATCAAGCTTGTATATTTAAGTTCAGTAATTTCACTTAAATGACAATGACTATTACCTATTAATTGTTATTTAAGTGAAATTACTGAACTTAAATATACAAGTTTGATAAAAAATCATCATTAAAGAAGAAAATTTAGAGGCTTTTGCATCTGAACTCTTCATATATATCTTCAGCTTATTTGACATAAAAATAAGGAGGTTAACGTTAAAAAACTGATTCACTAAAACAAATTCCACCTGAAACACTCATATACACATGCACAGCAAAATACTGTATCAACATTTGAGTATTAAACATTGTTTCCATGGTGATGCATGTTGCCAGGTGTCACATCTCTGGGAGGAGCTCACCTGGATGCAGCAGTGCATCAGTCCCGCTCACGCCTCCAGTTCCTGTACGCTCCAGACGCGCCTCAAAATGATTCAGGCTGCTGCACAACTACAGGTGAACAAACTAAACGCACCTTGAACAACGTTTTCAAGTTTACAGTCACTGAAATGATACAGAAACACCGAAACTGAAATTAAAGTTTTCATTTAGCCAATAACTGAAATTGAAACTTGAAAATAAACGTATTTAATAATGATTTAGTTAATCAAATGTATCAAATAGTTAAAGAACATACTTTTCTAAAGAACTATTAACATTGCCTGAGGCAAATGTACTGTAACCTTACTTGACATATTGTTTTCAAGCTGTTTTAGTGACGTTTTTCCGCAGTGATGAAGTGATTAGATGAGACATGTTACATTTCAGTAAGTTACTTTTTCAACACAAGAAATATTAAGAATATTGACCCTGACTGGATTTCTAAACTTATTGCTGAGCTTCCTGTGCTTGGCTCTGTTGATTGTTCCAACTCTTAATGTTGTGGCACCAGTGAGAGAACAAGCTGTACCTTTCTCCAAGTCGTCTCCCTGGCATACAAATGATTTGTTTGCGCTTGAAGCCGAACGAAGGATGATCTGAAGAAAAATCTGGCCTCACTGTTCACAAATTGATGTTTGAACAACACCAGCTGGAGTGTCATCTTATTCTTAAAACATATGATTAATCATAGGACGTTATTTAAGACAATCAATCATCTTCTTAAACCTCAAAACAAAAGCATATATCTGATGAGATGTGTAACAATTTGAACAAATATTTAAGTGAAAAAGTCCATAGTATCTATGGCTCTATATCTCTCTTGTGCTGACTAGTGAGTCTCATCCTAAAAACTCACTTTCTACTTCCTTCCCTAACTTTGGGAACACAATGTTTTGAAGTTGGTCATGAAATTAGATGAGTTCATCCACATGCTTTCTCGACCTCTTGCCTACTGAGGTCCTAAAAAAGTGTTTACCACATATTTGCCCATCCATTACTTCAATTATTAACAATTCCCTGGCCCTTAAAGGAGTAGTTCACTTTTGAAAAAACTTTTGCTGATAATTTACTCACCCCAAAATCATCCAAGATGTCCACGTCTTTCTTCAGTCGAAAAGAAATTAAGGTTTTTGATGAAAACACTCCAGGATTTTTCTCCATATAATGGACTTCAGTGGGAACCAAACGGTTCAAGGGCCAAATGAGAGTTTCAGTACAAACTGCAAACTTGTTCAAAGGGCTTTAAACAATTCCAGACGATGAATAAGGGTCTTATCAAGCGAAACGAACGCTCGTTTTATAAATAAATAACAAAGTTTAAGTTTTATAAGCTCAAACGCTCGCCTTGCTCTGTTCTGTAACGCACTCCTGTTCATCAAAATGAACAAATCTTTTTCCGAGTCATTTGGTTCATTCGGCGAAAGAAACGAAAGAAACGAACAGGAGAGTCAGGAACGTGCGTCACAGAACAGAGCAAGGCGAGTATTTGATCTTATAAAACTTAAACTTTGTTATTTTTTAAAAAAAATGAGCGATCATTTCGCTAAAATAAAGATTTCGATTAGAAAATAAAGATTTTCTTTATTGCATTTTCTGCCAAATGTTTTTGGTTGCCAAAATGTCGGTGCACCAGGAATGGAAAAATGCATCCAAAAAAATCAAGTTGAACCAAATTATGACTTGTTTTGCATCATTCAGGAAAGAATTGCATTCAAATCTTCGTTAGGGTTGAGAAATATTTACACTCGCAACATATCTTGAGGTGACGTTTGCCTTTTTTGGTTTGTTTGTGTGTTGTGCAGGCTCTCCTTGGCACAGTGGATCTGGGACAGGTGTATTTTGAGCCCATCAAGGACAAGCACGGTAACGTGGTTTTGGTGCTGATGAAGGACGTGAGCGCATGTGCGTCGCTGGAAGGCTTACGCTGGATTCCCGTCAGTAAATTCCAGCTGCAGCGCAGGTCGTCGTCTTCTTCATCAGACGAGCCCAGCGCACTGGAAACACTCCTCACAACGCTGCACGTGAGTGCTTTACACACTGAAACGCTGGTGTCCATCGCTAATGTGTTGTGCTGTCACATACTTCTAGCACCGTGACAAATGGAAGTATGGAAAAAATGTAGTGATCAAAGCTCTGTTATATTTTTAGAATAATGAGAAACATAAATTCAGTCTAAACATTTGACTGCGAGGCAAGACGCATCATGTCAGGTCTGATGGCAAACGTCACTGGCTTTCTCGTGTCTCGACATTGACGTCAAGCCTGGCGCGGCTCATTTTCATGCGCCATATTCAATTTCAGAAAGCACTATGATTTTTGGAACAACATTGGAGAGAAAATTACACTTTTTTTTAGCTTTGGGTGAATGAATGTTTCAACTCGACAGGTTTCAATCTCTGATATAAATGAGCCCGAAGCATGAGACATTCAGTGGGCTGCTACACTGTAAAAAAAAAAAATATATTTTCAAGATTTGTCATCACAACATTTTTTCTTATGTCAAATCAACTTAAATAATTTATTTAGTTCAGATAACTTATTATTTTGAGTTTCTGATGATTAAATCAATCTCCTTCATTGTATTAACTCAATTTTTCCAGTTTAATCAACTTAAAATTCTAAGGCAACCAGGTTACTTAATTTTTTTAAGTGAAACCAACAATATTTTTTACAGTTTACACTGTAAACCCCAACGGTGAAAATAATTAATTGGTTTGAGTACACTGTAAAAATGAATATGCTTTATCTAATCAATAAAATTGTGGCAAGAGATTACAAGCAATATTATTTATTAAATTGAACAAATTAGAATTGAGTAATAGTTAATCAAATTAACATTCTAATTAAATCTAATTTGTACAATTTAATTAATAATATTGCTTGTAATATGTTGCCACAATTTTATTGATTAGATAAAGCATAATATTTTTTTCAGTGTAGGACAAACTTAAATTCAACGAATTAGTTCAAATTAATTTTTACGACTATTTAGCACTTTTTTTTTCTTTCAAGTTCACAGAACTGATATATTTTAAGTAAACTGAACTGTTTCATTGTTTTGAGTTTTATGAAATTATTTATTTTAATTTAGACGAACATAAGTTTAACTGAAACGGCTGGGGTATCTATTTCCCAGCATGCTTTGCTGATGGCACTCGAAAGAGAGTGTAAATGCTAAAATTAAGTGCAATATAATGTTTTTTGTGTGTAAGATTAATGTTAAATGTGAGATTTAGTAGTGATTAATGTTTTGTTATGCTAATTTAGAAGAATTTCTGTTAATATTGGCTTTAGGATAGTTACCTTTTATATTATTACGCTCATACAGCAAGTGCTTCTGTGCTTGTAAGTGCTTATAACATACTGTTTATGTTAGCATTTACTGCGTCAGCAGATTAGCTTTTAAAGCTAACTAAGTTTATACTATTTAAAGTGATTTGAGTCCTGCCAACTTATTCGGGTGTACAGTGTACTTCATAGATTTAAGTTATAGTAACTAATTAGTAATATTAACTTTATTTACCCAAGTTATCTTAACAATAAGTTATTGAGTTACTTGGAAACAAATCAAATATTTTTTATGCTTAAATTGTTTGAGTTAATAAACTTAAATGATTTAAGGCAAACGGTTTGAGTTGAACTAACTCGTCAGGTTTTACAGTGTAGCTGCTGTATTCCTCTTTTTTATGTCTCTTATTACTTGAGTGCAGTGAATTGTGGGAGTATAACAGTAGCATTGTACGTTTGATGATTTAGTCTGAACGCTGTAAACACGTCACCCACCGCTGATCGTGTGTTTGAAACTGCTCTGGCCGTGATGTTTTGTCTGAGCGGCTCAGATTTTCCCTGTGGTAAAGCTGTGTGTGTGTGTGTGTGTGTGTGTGTGGTGAAAGTGGTTCCACAGCTCAACAACCACATGGCTCCAGAGTCAGTCTCTCAGTCAAATAGTTTAGAAATGATAAACGTGGGTCAGTTTCAGGCTATTGCAGGAAGTTCTTCATATCTTTATTTGTGTGTGTGTGTGTGTGTGTGTGTGTCCTGGTAAACACTACGTTGTGAGGACCTCGCAAAGGTAGTAATACCAGTCATTTTTTACCTTGTGGGGACATTTTTTTAATCCCCAATAGCTTACAAGTCACGTTCATGTTTATTTCATATGATTTTGACCTGAACATGTTCTTAAAAGGTTTTTTATAAAGAGCCCTTTGTGTGCAGGAGAAACTGGCCTATCACCGGCGCAGCAAGAAGTGTCTGTCTCCGGGCCTGTATCTGGGTTACCTGAAGCTGTACACCTCAGTGGACCAGATCAGGGTGCTCGTTTCACACAAACACCCAAACGTGCTGTGCCACGTCAAAGTACGGGACAACGGCCATGTCTCCAGGTATGACGCGTTTATGGCTGTGCTATGCATGAGTTTGTCTATATATATGCATGTATGTATGTATGTGTGTGTGTAATTATTATGTTTGTTTTGTAGGGAAGAATGGCAGTGGCTTCAATCACTGAGTTCGCTCGAGGACAGTGCGCAGGTGTGTGGCGACGCTCAGAGCGCGCCGCATCGCCTCCTACTGGACTTAAGAACCGCTGCTAAAGATTTACTCGGCTACATCAACATTCCCAATCACCAGGTTTGTAGTTGACGCATGTAATTTGTTTGATTGCACAAGCAAATTAGTGCCCATTATTTGGCATTTTAGTAAATCAGGGCCATGCAGTATCAAATACATACATGAAACTGATATAAAACGCATGCCACGCCGCAAGCCTGTTTTGCATGTATTGTGTGCATTTCTACACTGAAAAAAATTTGTTGTAGGATTTACTTGGACAGAAATTGCTAGGAAATTTCATAAATAGTTACAAAGAAATAACATTTTTCTGCGTAAAAAGACTTTAATTATAATCTTTGTTTTATTTACAATTTAGAAAATAATTAGTCATGAAAAAATCGAATGATGTCTGATTTGGGAGCAATTTTGTTAGTCGTTTTGCTTTAGTGAATCATTTGAACCAGTTCATTTTAGTTTAGGGAATCAATCTGAATTTGTGATTTCGATTCGATTCAATATCGATTATTTTGGATATCACTTACAATAAATGGCCATTTTTCTCAAGGGAATCAAATCTCTTAGATGCTGTAAACTATGGGAGTCTAGTTGTAGCCTATAGACTTCATTAGCCTAATATGAAGGTAATAATTAACTGTTTTGTAGCTATACAAACACTTAAATTACACTTTTATTTATTTTTATAATAAGAAAATTGTATGAAATATGAACATTTAAATGGTGGCTGTCATAAAAACTTGCCAGATTTATTCAAATATGCATTAAATATTGAAGAACATTAAGATTATAATGCATATGTAATATGGTGTATATATTTAGCAAAATGCTCCTCTCTAGAGTTATTTTTTTCAAGCTGACTAACGAGTTTATGTGGGTTTTCTGAGGTAAATATGACGATACATGACATTGATTACAAGCTGTTTAACTGACGTCTTTCCACGGTTGAAAAGCTGATCGAGTGAATCAATGTGACATGATACGGATTTCGATAAGTTGTACTCTGTCTTTAACACACTTTCAGATGCTCATTCATGTTTATTTCGCGCTGTAACTGGTATTATTGAACCGGAAGAGAGATCAGCGCTGCTGCTTCTCCAGAGCGATCTCACGCCACAGCGCCAAAACGCTATTTATGTTTTTGAATTTCAAAGAAAATGGACGTAATTTGAAATTTGAGACTTTGTTTCATATCAATAGTAACAAAGGACAAAGATGTTCCATTCATTCAAATGAAACAGGATGACTAATCGATTCTTGAGATTTAAGAATCGATATCGGTTCGTAAAAATGTGAATCGATTAATATCGAGAAATCGATATTTATTACCCAGCCCTAGTAAGCAGGATAAATGTGCTTACATTATAAGCTTAAATCATGGTATTATAATGTACCGCAAATAGTGTTTCACTGTCACTTATGATCAATTTAATGCACCCTTGCTGAATAAAAGTATTAATAGAAAAAAAAAAAACTAAAAAAAAAAAAAAGATTGGTAATACAAAAAATAGTATTATTTTTCTTCCTCTTCACACATCAGGCACAGGATTTCCGTGTGTATGTGAAGGAGGTGGTTGAGTTGGGGGAGGGCGTGTCTTTCCTGTTGCTCCTCCCACCGTGTGAGGAGGTGTGTTCACCGCCCGGACAGAACCATCTCTGCTCGCTGCGCTCTGGGTTCTTCACCCTCCCGCTGCAGATCTTCGAGTTAGGTGAGAGGACACCGTGTAAACTCATTCCCCCACATGTATCTTCTATCCCCGTCACCTCATGTGCACTCATTCTCTCTCTTTGTGCAGTTCATTTCGAGGCCTACTGCCCTAGTTTCATCGGCTTGTATTGCCGTGTGTCGGCTCTGCTGGGTCTGGAGTCCCTGATGTCCCAGCAGACTTTGCGGGAGGCGTTCTCTGAGTCCGAGCTGTTCGCTGCCAAGCAGAAACATCAGCAGGTTGAGGAGTATTTGCAGGTATTTCTGTCCTCTGTGCAATTCAACACTGGCAGCCTGCCGCTTCAGTTCAGCTTTCATAGGTGTAACTGATGACAGTAAACCCGCAGTAAAAATCAGAACAAACTGTTCAACTGGGGAATTTACAGTATCATCTTTAATAGATGTAAGAGGCCCAAGAGCGGAGATATAAATCAGCCGGTGTAATCTGAGTCTACACCCTGAGCTGTCTACTTAATTCTTTTGACATTTAAGATAAACGTTTGACAGTCTTCCACCAAATTACGTTGATTTACTGCTAAAAATATGTAAATATATGAAACAAGATCAATTTACTTACAACACTTCATGAGATTGTTGTACTATTATATAGTTTATTTAATATTTTATCTAGGGATGCACCGATATGAACATTTTGGACGATACGATAACCGATAATTCTTTATATTTGAAAGCCGATAACCGATATATCGGCCGATAAATCTAAATCCAATTTTTATATAATTTTTGAAAGCCTGATTGCAAAAACAAAAGTCTCACAATTAAAATCCGTCCCCTAACACAGTTGTAATGTTCTCATTATAATTTCATGTAGCCGATATGACAGCACATTTTGCGCTTAACTATATTTTCCTTTTTGATTCCTATCATATTTCAAGCAATTAAGATCAATCATGTTGAACAGTGCGCATCTTAAGTGTCTCAGGTGTCAAGTGTTGAAGGAAATAATTTATTATTTATCAGCTTTAATATATCAGCCAAATTTTATTATCGGGCCGATAACGATAACGTGAAAATGAGCAAATATCGGCCGATACCGGCTGATATATTTTATCCACTGCTTAAAACAAGTGTGTAGGGAATCCAAAAAAACAAGCCTTTATCTTGTGATGAGGATTTATTTGGAAAAAGACAAATATACTATAATGATTAATAATATGAAAAAATGGAATACAGTGTAAAACACACTTCATAAACCATAATAAATTAATATAATAATATATAAAATAATATACAGTGTTTATTTACAGGTTTATCAACACACAAATACCACCAAGTTACCCAGAAAGATTTTCTGTGATTTTAAATGCATCAGTTTTGTTTCTTGTGTGTAGTCGACAGAAATCAAGACACATGATGAGGATCGTGACAACGCCAAAAACAGCTCTCATGTGGCATTTTATTTACACAAACCAAAATATTAAAACTTAAATCCACCTAATATTTTAACAGCTATCTGCTATTCCTTGTACACTGTTCAGATAAGAATATCACCCATGTTTCACTGTGTTCACTTTCAGCATATGGAGGACCTGTGGCGTGATGCCCGGTGGATGGTGATCCTCCAGTCCGCCCGATATAAGCATCAGAGCTCCGGAGTGAGTCTGAGCTGGATTATTGACTTCTCCAAAGAGAGCATCCCAGAGAAACCAGCTTCCACTTCCTCTCAGGTGGACTACCTGCCCTCACCGACCCCTTCACCAGAGACCACACGCAAACACAACGGTGAGAGAGACCTGTCTGTTCTGATCAGCCTCTTCATTATATAATCAATTAGAGTACATATGTCACTTCATGTCACCAGGTCATTAAACACAAAAGAGTGGATCAATCTGGGATTACATACATCAGGGATTCCCAAACTTAGTTCGTCAGCCAAACATCTCTGATGTAAAAAAAAAAAATGGTTTGGAGGAAAAGGGGCAGAAGTTGTCCAAGCAGGATGTTCAAGTGGAGAAAAAAGTATCGGTTGCACTGTTAGTATCTAGTGTTAAGAGCTGATCAGGTGTAGGAAGTGTGGATGAGACCAAAGAGGATAGGCGAGAGAGTGAGCGTAGGTTTCGACTTGTGGAGGAGTGTGTGTTGTGTTTTGAGGCAGGTTGAGGTTGAGAGTGAGGAGGAAGTGATCTGAAGTGTGCAGCGGAGTGACCAGTGTATGGTCACGCGTGTAAGGCAAGGCAAGGCAATTTTATTTGTATAGCGCATTTCATACATAGCAGCAATACAATGCGCTTCACACAGTATAATATATACAGTTAAAATTCAATGTAGCCACACAACACAGAAATAAATACACATTTATCAAAAATACATTAAAAATAAAATAAAATAATGTAAATACATTTATTTGTCACGCATTAACTGGAAAAAGCATCTGAAAAAAACTTTTGAGATTAAAGAGATGAACGCCGAAGTATTTAAAAGCAGCTTCCCCTTGTTTTGTTCTAACTGTAGGTTTTAATAGAAGCTGTTTATGCTGTGATCTAAGTGGTCTAGGTTGAGTATACTGTTGAAACATATCATGAAAATATTTAGGTCCCATCCCCTTTATTGACTTAAAAACTAATAAAAGTGCTTAGTAAATAAGCTCTAATTGGTTTCCTGATTTGTGAGTAGCCACAGTAGATACTCGTTTGAGGTAAAATGAGGCAAACAGATCAATTTAACTACCTTACTAACTATTAATAAGCCGTAATTAGGAGTTCATTGAGTCATAGTTAGTTAGTTTATAGTGAGAATTGGACCCTAGTCTAAAGTGCGACCAAAAAAAACAATATTTTTCCCCATATTTTACACTGTTCTTCGCAGCATCTCTCTTTTGAGAGATTCAGTTGACATTCAGTACAACCTGTGTCTTTTATTTAGAATATATAAAAATATAATTTACGTCTTTGAGTTTGTCAGGAGATTTAAAGCACCGTCTTTGAAGAGTGCGCACGTGCGAACGTGCTCTGCTGTGTATAAACGAGCCTTGAATCTGGAAATAATTCAAAGTAACTGAGAAAAACGAGAATGCCATGTCTGTAATTCATATCAAAACATCAAGCGTCAATTCGATCTCAAACAGTTTCAATAAAAGAAGTGATTTCTCCACCTTGTTCGTGACGTAATAAACTAACGTGATTGAACGACTACTTTGCGACAATATGGTTTCGGGAAACAGTCGTGACTATAGCAATAGGGCTGGGTATTGAGACAAATTTCACAATTAGATTCAATTTCGATTCACAAGCTTGCAATTCGATTCAATATCGATTATTTTGGATATCAGTTCCAATAAATGGCCATTTTTCTCAAGGGAATCAAATCTCTTAGATGCTGTAAACTATGGGAGTCTAGTTGTAGCCTATAGGCTTCATTAGCCTAATATGAAGGTAATAATGAACTGTTTTGTAGCTATACAAACACTTAAATTACACTTTTATTTATTTTTATAATAAGAAGATTATATGAAATATAAACATTTAAATGGTGGCTGTCTTAAAAACTTGCCAGATTTATTCAAATATGCATTAAATATTGAAGAACATTAAGATTATAATGCATATGTAATATGGTGTATATATTTAGCAAAATGCTCCTCTCTAGAGTTATTTTTTTCAAGCTGACTAACGAGTTGATGTGGGTTTTCTGAGGTAAATATGACGATACATGACATTGATTACAAGCTGTTTAACTGACGTCTTTCCACGGTTGAAACGCCGATCGAGCGAATCAATGTGACATGATACGGATTTCGATAAGTTGTACTCTATCTTTTAACACACTTTCAGATGCTCATTCATGTTTATTTGGCGCTGTAACTGGTATTATTAACCCGGAAGAGAGATCAGCGCTGCTGCTTCTCCAGAGCTGCTCCAGAGCGATCTCACGCCACAGCGCCAAAACACTATTTATGTTTTTGAATTTCTAAAGAAAATGGACGTAATTTGAAATTTGAGACTTTGTTTCATATCAATAGTAACAAAGGACAAAGATTATTGCGATTTATTGGATGCGCGCAGCCGTGATACAATGTCCCATTCATTCAAATGAAACAGGATGACTAATCGATTCTTCAGATTTAAGAATCGATATCGGTTCGTAAAAATGAGAATCGATTCATATCGAGAAATCGATATTTATTACCCAGCCCTATGTAACAAGTTGATTTCTTCAACGATCGCACTATGGTAGTGAAGCAGCGAGTTACGTCGGTGTACGGGAAACGCACCCCTGTTTAGTTCCTGACTCTATGAAGGAAAGCAAAATGTGCTCTGATTGGTCGGCTGGAACAGTTTGTTGTGATTTATCAAGCGATACCTTGCATGTTTACCGCGAGTTTCAACACACTAAGTCCCTCTTTCTGTTTGTTTTTTCCAAGATTCCCATGGTCTGTCTGATGAGGACAACTCTTCCGAGGTGTTCCTCACTACCGACAGCGAGTACAGCTCCAGCGTGACCCAGAGCACCCGAGAACTGGACCTGCTTCCACCGTCTCCCACCAGCTTCAGGTCTGTAGCGTCTCACCCTTCTTCCTCCTCGCAGTCATCGCCTCGCTCCACTCAGCCGGACGTGCTGCAGACCGGAGGAGGAATGAGCCGACGGGAACTCGTGAATGCGTTCGACAGCGACTTCATCCTCCCGAGCCGCCAGATCGAGCTGCTGCGGGTCACGGAGAAGAGAACGGCGCTGTGTGTCCGCACCAGCAGTCTGGAATACCCGCCAACCACACCCACCAGCTCCTCCAATCACAAGGGCTGGACTCGACCTTCCTCCTTCGATCTCTGCTTCTCCGCCCCTGAACCCCGCCCTGCGCCTGTGCGCACCCTATCAGAGGACAGTGGCGTCCAGCGACTCTCCGCCCCCTCCAGCGGTTCCCCTCACAGGCCAGGTCACACCACATTGAGAGTTTACCCACAATACCGGACCGGATTACCCAAGGAAACCAGTGTCAAAGTCAGTGTTCAAATCATTATTAGCTATGTTTCTTTTCACCCATTTTTATGCTCATTGGGATATTGCATTAAAAAAAAAACGATGGGTGGAAATGCCAAGATGCGCATTAATTACAAAAAATTTGCATACAAAACTTATGCGATAAGAAGAAACTACAATGGAAATGCATTTACCGAATAAATCCCTCTATACACAATACAAAAATCAGGTGTCACTTTGCCTCAACAGTTGATGTGATTGGATAACAGGACTAACCAGTGGACCAATCACATCACAGGATCTCAAATGTTGGTTTGGTCCGTCTGAGCCAAAGTCTGTCATCAGAATGATTGGGTTTAATTCCCTCTCAGAATGATCGTGTTCCCAAACACCAGCATCCGAACGCAAGAGATCATGACAGCGTTTATTGCATTTTGACACGCAAGTCATTTATGATGGAGGAAAAAACAATTGCAGAAACTTCCATATTTATTACACATATCTTGCCGCAATTTCGCAGGATGTGACGATTTATTTCCTAGTTTACTGTTTAGACATTTTTCTCTAAACTAACTTCAGTACTGTCAAAATTTGGAATGTGCCATTCATCTCCACAAAATGTCATATATATTTTTTTAATATTGTAATTTAAATGACATTTATTACATATATTTAAAAGATTTTAATGACATAGTTAATTTATTTAAATTTAAGTCATTTAATTTAATTCTACTAGCTATATTGAAAAAATTGAGCATTCTTGGAAATTATAGTAACTATCTCTAATTATTATTATATATAAATATAAATTATTGTATATGTGAAACTAGAAAAATTAGAATATCATGCAAAAGTTAATTTATTTCAGTAATTCAACTTAAAGGTGAAACTAATATATTATATAGACTCATTCGCAATATTCTAATTTTGAATTTGGGGTTTTCATAAGCTGTAAGCCATAATCATCAACATTATTACAAATAAAGGTTTGAAATATCTTACTTTGCATGCAATGAGTCTATATAATATATTAGTTTCACCTTTTAAGTTGAATTACTGAAATAAATGAACTTTTGCACCATATTCTAATTTTTCGAGTTTCACCTGTATGAATATAAATATATACAATTTACTTAATTAAACAATACTACAAAATTACTAAATACATATTTTATTAATTAAAAATCTTTTTTTTTATTTTTTTTTTTATTCTAGAAGTCATGTGAATTTTTGGGATTTGAATTTTTAAATGTATACATGATATACTATTATATTTGGGAATTATATATATATATACCATTTACCATATATTTACCATATATGAATTTACCACATTTACCATATATTTTTAATATATATAGAATTCTAATATTATTCTAATGTTATAATTTTTATTATTATTATTAGTATTATTTTTTATTATATATAATTCTATTTATAGTTCTGCATCCGGTTTGCTGCCTCTTTTAGAATTTAAGAGTTGAGTTATTATCAAAGTGCATTTGAGCTAGACACCTAACCATAGGTTGCTACGGCTTACTCAATAGACGTGGTCTGCTGACTCCATATGTGTGTGTGTCTGCTTCTGTAGTTACGTGTGACCCCAGAGACGTCGGCGAAAGAGATGGTCGGTCTGGTGGTCCAGGAGATCAACGCCGTGTGCCATCACCTGCAGAAAGCAGCGCAGCAGTGCACGTGTGCGGTGGAGCAGTGCAGCTACCCGTCCTGCGAGTCTGAGGTGTGTGTGTACGGCAGCGAGCAGCTGGAGCACTTTGGGCTGGTTCTGCTGGTGGAGGGGAGAGAGAAATGGCTTCAGGACGACTTTTGCCCACTCACGCTCCAAAACCCATGGACACGCGGGAAACTCTGCGTCCGTTTCAAAGAGTATTCGCCGCTCGCACTGCAGTACAGCCGAGCCACGACCGTTTGATCCCTCCAACATGTAAATACACACACTCACACACTGACTTAAGTGCACAGACTACTGAATACTTGCTTCGTACGTCGTGAGTGGGTTCATGGGTTCACCAGGACTGATCTGCTCACCTTTCCTCATCGGGTGACATGAGGAGCTCCATGTCACCTGCACTACAATAAGAGCATGCTAACCTTATGGGGAAATACACGTCAAGTGCTTATCAATCACCAGTAAGAGTTAAAGTCAATATGAAGTCATGTATGAATGTTCCTGGTTTTGAATAATTCATCAGTGCACGTTATTTTAAGGTTTATAAAGAGTTCATAATCCATACATATTTATATATATATATACACACACACATATATATGAAGAGTTCAGATGCAAAAGCCTCTGAGTGCCATTTGAAATTTTCTTCTAGAATGATCATTTTTATCAAGCTTGTATATTTAAGTTCAGTGATTTCACTTAAATTGCAATGAAGATTATCTATTAATTGTCATTTAAGTGAAATTACTGAACTTAAATATACAAGCTTGATAAAAATGATAATTTTAGGAGAAAATTTCAAATGGCACTTAGAGGCTTTTGCATCTGAACTCTTCATATATACACATAATCCATACCTACATATATATTACTGTTCAAAAGTATATTGATTTATTTATTCACTAAGTTCCATTACATTAAATTGGTCTAAATTACAATAAATGCATTTATAATTATAATTTATTTGAAATAAATGCTGTTTTCAGCATATTAGAGTGATTTCTGAAGGATCGTGTGACACTGAAGACTAGAGTAATGATGGGATAAATGACAATTTACAATATATTAGAAAACAGCTGTTTTAAACTGTAATAATATTTCACATTTTTAATGCATTTCAGATCAACTAAATGCAGCAGAAAGGACTTATTTCTAAAAAATCTTTTTAAATCTTTTGAACAGTATATATATATATATGATATATGATGTTATTTAAATATCGATCACACTACTGAGGTGAAATCCCACTTCATAATTCATATTGACTTTAACTGGTCACAGTTGCATCGTTTGCTCATGTTCTCAGTGTTGTGCCACTTGTTTCAGAAGTTCAGAAGCTCTTCCATCAGTATTCAGAAGTCAAATGTTTACAGCTTGCTCAAACAAACATGGCGTCGTGATTTTTTTCCGTCAATGCATTCTTCCTCAGGACACCGTTAGACCTATCCACCAAATTGTACACATACAGGACTTATCCAAACTGTGAATAATACTCCATTGGGATTCTCCAATGAGCAAAATACACTGAATTACTGAACATTTCTAGAGCAAATGCACTTGAGAACGAGTCTACACTGAATCGACCGCCAGAACAGAAGCTTTACCCGAATGAAGAGTGATGTGAATCGTTTGTGATCGGACTGAATGAACAATGCAGCGTTTTAAAGCGAGACTCTTCCCGTTTCTAATGTTCGTTTGTGTTGCTTTGAGTAGCAAAAGGAGCGTTTTCTTCTATTGATCGGCTGTGTTGTTGTGCGGTGAGTTTATTATCGATATTGTGTTTACTGTCGGACACACACGAGTGCGATGTAAAAGTTTTGGTGCAATAATATTTTACACTGTCGCTCGGAAGCGGATTTATCTTCCAGATGAAGAACGTTGATTTATGGGATCATGTACAAATACAAACTCAAGCTGATACACAAGCGCTGTTTCAGATGATGTGTGTTTTGGCATGAGACTTAAGAGTGTGTGTGTGTGTGTGCGCGTGTTCCTAGCATGAGCTCATAGTCTTATGGCTGTCCATTTGATGAAAGCATAGTTTTGAGCAGCTGCAGCGTGTGTGTGTGTGTGTGTGTGTGTGTTTGTAGTTTACTACGTGTACTAATATGAGCATTTAATTTACAGCTCCAGCAACTATTGTCTGATTCCGAGTCTCTTCTCTGCACTGAAACGCTCGAGGTCACGCGCGAGTTCAACAGTCGGGTAACGGAAAAATCACATCAACATTCTTTGTAAAGAAATAGATGTTTAACAATTTAACTTTTTTTAAACTTTTTAATAATTATGATGCTGAAAATTCAGCTTTGATCACAGGAATAAATTACATTTTACAATATAACGATTAATCGCATTCAAAATAAAAGTTTGTGTTTACGTAATATATGTAGGTGCACTGTGTATAAATATTTTGGATATATATAAAAACACACACATGCATGTATATTTAAGAAAAAATATTATTTATATATAAAATATTTATATTTATAAATAATTACGGCTGTGAAACGATTAATCGCGATCAATCGAATCCAAAATAAAAGTTTTTGTTTACGTAATATATGTGTGTGGTGTGTATAATTATTTTGTATATATATAAATACACACACATTTATATATTTAAGAAAAATGTGATAATATATTAAATATTTATATTTATGCATAATATTAATTTTGTATAAATATGTATAAAGTGTATACATGCAAATATTTCTTAAATATATACATGCATGTGTGTGTATTTATATATATAAAATAATTATACACAGTGCACCCACATATATTACGTAAACACAAACTTTTATTTTGGATGCGATTAATCGCGATTAATCGTTTCACAATATAAATTATATATAAAAGTATGTACATGAAAATATTTCTTAAATATAAACAAGCATGTGTGTGTATTTTTATAAATAAAATAATTATACACAGTGCACCCACATATATTATTTAAACACAAACTTTTATTTTGGATGCGATTAATCGCGATTAATCGTTTCACAATATAAATTATATATAAAAGTATGTACATGAAAATATTTCTTAAATATAAACAAGCATGTGTGTGTATTTATTTATATATTTATATATATATATATATATATATATATAAAATAATTATACACAGTGCACCCACATATATTATATAAACACAAACTTTTATTTTGGATGCGATTAATCGTTTGACAGCCCTACAATATATTACAATAGAAAATTGTTATTTTAGAAGAATAATATTTCACAATATCGCAGTTTTTACAGTATTTTTGATCAGATAAATGCATCGTGGTGAGCAGAAGTGACCCATGCTGATAATGTTCAACACTATTGTTCTGCATTTGAACCCAAACGTCTTTTAGTGCCGTTTTTGCCATTTATTACAATTGACTTTTGATTTGATATTTGGTGTCTAATAGCAGTTTCAAGTGTATAAATAAGCTTTTAGGCCGGTGTATTCTCTGCCCCCGTCGTCTTGGGTGAAATAATAGACGCTCTCTGATTGACTGAGTGTCTCACTTCTACTAAGTAAAGTGTGGGAAACACTCAACAAACACACGCACACACTCTCACAAGAACAGCTCCCCTCACACAAACAAACACGGACAACACAAACTGGCAGACCACACACACACTGCTATACAAGCGCTCCCTCACACACACATTAAAGTGCAGCGGAGCGTGTGGAAGACCACACACACGCTGCACCTTTAAGGCCGTCGCTGTGACGGTTATCGACAGTAACCTTAGAATTGTAGCAGGGTTCTCACACCTCCTAATTATACCGTGTGGACTCCGGGAAGACCTGCGCTAAATTTAGCCCTCGGCGGATCTGCAAATACGGTTAGCAAAACATTCCCAAAAGACCCTGAATGGATCTGATTCACGGCTCGCCTGCGTCCCACTGGGGCTGTGCTGCACGAGCGTCCAGCTGCAGGCGTAGGCTGTGGGTGTTTTAAGGGGTTTCGAGGAGCCGAGGGCACGCGAGCGAGGACAGATAGGGCTCTTCCTAAAAGGAGAATCCAGCCGGAGTCTAAGGCAGTGTTACGTGATGAGAGACAAACAGTTGTGAACAAAATCTGTCCAAATTATGTTGATTTGAATTATTATTATATTGATTAATTCATCTTATTCTATCTTTATGAATAGAGTTTTTGCTCCATATATCTAACAAATTGTCATCTTTTATTCACATATATATATATATATATATATACACACACACAAACACATATATTTGTATGTATTATTTATTTATATTTAAAATATTCTAAAAATATAAATATATTTATATAGATTATACTGAATATATATACATTGAATAATGTAATTTAATTATATTTTTCTATTATATATAATTAAATATACTTTCTAAATATTTTATAAAATATATAAAATGTACATATTTTATATTTTTGTATATTATTTTTTATATAAAATATATAGTGATTTTTTTTTGTTATATTTTAAATGCACATTTGCAATACGCACACTCACCTCTTACAAACGAGTATATGGTATTATTATAAAATATACCACTGAAAATACCATGCTTTTTGGACACCACTTCTTTAAAGTCCCTCACCGTCCCATTTAAAGACCACTAAATAGAAGCACACTTTCTGTTAAAAAGAGTATACTTAATTTGAAAATAATAATAATAAACTTTATTATACAGTATATCAGTGAACTGCATGTAATATTTTCAGAAACTAATTGCATGTTATTTACAATTAAATTAAAGTGTGTAGTTAAAATAGTTGAACTTCAGCACATCTTTATATTAAATTCAATGTTTAATTTGTGGTAAACTATAATGTCATTTCAATTGAAACTTGTCTGTAATGTATTTAAATATATTTGCAATGAAGTTACGATTTAGTACATGTGCTTTAGTTACACAACACATCAAAATAAGTGTACTGTATAGATTATGAATACATGATGATTTAAAATATACTTGGATAAGACATTATATACATAAATAATGTCATAAATCTTTCGATGTGACATTATGTATGTATGCATTATGCACATTATTAGTTGTGCTGTAAAGATTTGAAGTACACTACAAGTGCACTTTAGGCTATGGCAATCAGACAATACTTTATTTTGTACCAGTGCACACAGTAGTTTAACACATGTTGGTGTGAATTTAATTATATCTATCCTAATTGAGGATCTCATCACTAGGTTCCCCCTCTATCTTTAAAGTGTTATTCCCATCACGGGGTCTGATTTCAGCGCTGAATGATAGCGGACGTACTTCTGAAGACCTGATGTTCTGTAAGACTATATGTGATGCGAACACACCGTCCTCTGTGCATTTATAGCAGTGAAATGATGTGCATAAATGCGTCTGGTTCACCTGTTATATGCATATTGTGTGCGTTTGTGCGAGTGAGACGGACCCCGCCTCCTCCACCCGGACCCCCGGGGCCTATAACCCTTTAAAGCACCTATAAAACATTTGGCAGGAGCGTTTGAAGTTTTTATGAAG